ACAGCACTTAGCAACCAGTAACGCTCAATAAATATTTAACGAGAAATGGGAGACTTAAAGAAAATTATATACATATGTAATGATTTTTAAAAAAGAAAGAGTAGACTGTGCCCTTACGGTGAAGTGTAGTAAGAATTCTAAGATTAAAGATCCCTTAGGCAGAGGGTGAGGTAAGGCCTGGGGGTGCCTGCAGGCTATGGGGCCGGTTTGTGCAGGGGCTATGGACACACAGGCCTGCCCTGGCTGCTGTATACCCACCGCCCAAGCAGGGCTGTGTTCTGGGGCTTCTTCTTCTTTTTTTTTTTTTTTTTGATTTCTGAGAGGAAGGGAGAGATGGAAACAATGATGAGAGAGAATCATTGACTGGCACAACCCACACTGGGGATTGAGCCTGCAACCAGGGCAAGTGCCCTGACAGGGAATCGAACCGACCTCCTGGTTCATAGGTTGACGCTCAACCAGAGCCGCGCCGGCTGGGCCTGGGGCTTCTATTCTGCTGCTGTCAGACAGGATAATGAAGATCCCAGGAAATCTGCTGAGGCCCCAGGGCCCGTGGGAGGAGTCAGGTCCAGGACCAGCGGGACCAGCAGGACCAGCAGAATGAGAGTGCAGGCGCTGCCGGGAGCTCAGACGGGGCACTGGCCCCTGGAAGCCTGTGCCCTACAACCTAGGAGAAACTGGGAGCGGGGCCCCCTCCCCTCTCTGTGCTTCCCTCCCTGAGTAGGAGTCCCAGTAGGAATTGGCAGCAGATGGGACCCAGGTGTCCCTTCCTGGGTGGGCGGCACAGCCCACGGAGGCCAGATGGCGTCTGTGGTGGGAAGAGACCTGGGTCACCCAGAACAGGCTGTCAGCCCCCGGCAACCTCCCTGCCACCCCCAGCCTCTCACAGCGCGATGCAGGGAAGACTCGCCACGCCGGGATTTTATAAAACCAGTTTATTCACATCTTAGAAAAACTAACCAGGATGGGGAAGGCCTCCCTGCAGGCTGGGTGTGAGATACGGAACACAAAGCCAGAGGGAGGAATCAGGAGGCAGGAGTGGGGAGTGGAGGCCAGGCCCCCCACTGCGAGTGGGGTAGGTCCAATAAATTAAAGGAAGAGCAGACAGAGGGAGAGGGTAGCCGGGCAACCAGAGGTGGGCTTGGAGCTGGGCTGGAAGACAGTCAACACCTGTGAGACCTGCAGAGAAAGTGTGGAGTGGGCTAAGGAGGGCCCTGGGGGGGGAGGGGGGCTCCCTCCCAGCCCTCACCCCGTGAATTCACAGGGTCAGGCAAGGAGCAAGCAGCTCCTAACAGGGCTTGAGAAGGCAAGGCCGGGGTTCTTCCCCTCACCTAGGCCGGGGCAAGGGCTCATCGTTTTCGCAGCCTCTTCATGAAGCAGCAGGTGATGGTGCTAAGGATTGCGGCGCCGGTGACTAGGGCAACCGCTGCCCCCACCAGCAGAGGCATGAGCAGGGTGTCCCGGGCTGGGTGAGAGAGAATGGCTCAGGCTGGGGTGCCGCTGCCCCCCACGCACTGTCTCCCTGAAGTCCCAGCACCTTCTTTATCAAGCTGTCGGCACCTCCTCCCCGATCACAGACAGCCCTCCCAGCCCACTCCCTGCCCTCTCCGCACTCAGCAACCTCCACCTCGGAGGACTCTGGGCAGATGGGCCCTGGGGGTGGAGAGCTGGATTTTCAGGGCTCTCCGTGTGAAGTGATGTGGGGAGAAGAGGGGAGAGTGGTAGGAGGGTCAGATGGAAAGGGAGGAATAGGAGCGTGGGGCTGGAGGGAGGCGGTGAGTCAGGAGGTGGGGAGGGAGGCACTCACCATGCAGGTAGGGGTAGACTGTGACAGGCCCCGATCGGGCACTGCCCACCTGGTACCAGCTGTAGTCGGCATGCTGCACCCAGGCGCTGGGGGTGCAGTGGTATATGCCTTCGTCCTCGGGCCCTAAGCTGTGCAGTCTCAGCCGATGGCTCCGGGGCCCCACCAGCTCCACACTGACAGGGCCTCCTCCAGGTCTGACCCCCAGCTTTGCCACACCATCCTGACCCATGCCACCCACCAGCTGGGCAGGGGCGGAGCTCAGCTCTGGGTCCTCGGGTCGCTCCACCCACCAGCTGGTGGCCAGCCGCAGGCCTGCGGGGCCACCCCGCACGGAGATGTTGCAGAGCAGGGAGGCGGTCTCCCCGCGGTACACTGCGCCTCCTGCCAGCCACGCCACCGCCTCCAGCACCACGCCTACACA